AGCCAGTATATACGAACATTCGCGAAAAATGCGGGGTTGCTGCACCTATCTGAGCCGTGCGAGAAAGGGTACAAACGAACGCTCGTTGTCGTGGAAATTTATCATCGGCTTCCACGAGACATGGAATGGACAAGTACTCGCGCATTAAGCGCACGCTCGCGGGAGGGTTGCGCGAGTGAGGCATGAGGTCTCGGAGAGAAGAAAATAGAGTCACGGTGTGTTCCCGTGGTACGACATGTTCTTGCGCGGCCGAAGAGGGCGGTCAGGACCGATTAATCACGGTCGCATTTTGCGGTTTTGTCGCGCGTCACGACCCACGTGCGTTCCGCGGGCTCCATTGTTCTGCGCCTAATCGTTCCAGGAACGGTGTCGGACAGTCGTACGCCGTGAGAGAGTTCCCGTCGTACGTAAAACTCCGTGCGCGCGCGGATCCTCGTATGTGCATTTTGCGAGAATCCATCCTCTATACTTTATCTGAAGTGCCGGTCTCAGGTCCAGTTCACTCTTCAAAGCTACAACTTCAACTTAATATATTTGTTTTCTGGTTTTCTACATCAGGTAGAATAGCAAGAAAACGATAAGTAAAGAATATTAGATTAAACTTAATTAATCCGGATTTTAATTAGCGTGATTTTAAACGTTTTACGATTTCATCTTAATTTAAAAGCAATAATCCTAACGTAAAAATATCAACTGTGAAATAATTCCTAAAAAAGATAGATAAAATAATTTTTATATATCAACTCCTCTCTATGTAATTATCGTTATTTTCTTAATGTTTGGTATATTCAATAAATCAATAAAATTATATCATTTCATTTCATCCTCTCTGATAGTTAATGGTAAAATCAAGACCGAAACCGCATTCTCACACCGTTCCTGATGATCCAATGTTTTCATCAGCGCGTAATAACCGGTGTACCGCATTTTTTTCCCAAAATTGAATTACTGGGAAGTCTCTCCTCTCTCTCTGGAGGAGTCTCCGCTTCTCGGCCCTGGGGAGACAGGAGGATCAGAAGTACGGAAGAAGGGGACGAGAGGAGGGATGAGATGAGGGCAAGGTGGAGATTCTAAAAATGGCGTCGCGGACTGACGGCACACGGTAACTCCAGGGCCAATTTCGAGGGGCCATTTTTCCCCCGAAGGGGAACGTCGACGGCAACCGAAAATTACCCCGCTCGGACCACCCAGTCGTCCCACGGCAGACCAATCTCCTGGCCATGGGCTAATCGAGTCCAGACAGTCCCCCTTGGTGGGGCTAATTGCGCCTCACCACTTTCGTACCTCCGAGAGGTCGACCTCTCTATTAAGAGACTTTTATCCAGACGCGCTCGCACGCCGCGCCGTGCCGCGTCACGTATTAAATTGGAGGGTGTAAGCTCGTCTCTCTAAGAGTCTTTTCTTTAAGGAGAGTTTTTTAGAAGGGAGGGAGGAAGGAAGGGTAACTTGTGTGGGAATGTATGGAACCGTTGGTAGTAAATCACCGTTGATCAAGTAATCTCGGACATTCGTAATATTATATGCAGGAAACATCCTGTAAATATTCTCAGTTAGATTGTGAAAAAATGCTGCAGCTACTTAATGTTTAATTATAATATGTCTATCTTGAGATGGAAAGATATGTATAATGCATAAAAAATATACGTTTTAATAAATTACACCATAAAACTCTTTAATTGAAATAAAAAAGAAATTAAATAAAATGATCTTTGAAAAATAAGTCCAGAGTTTCATAAATTATGTTTCCTGCTAAAATTATTATTTAATATTTTAAACATAAAATTAAAATAAACATCGAAAAGAAAATCATTATTAATATTTAATACTTATTAATTTAGCTCAATATTAATCGCTGGTATTCTTTAATAATACACATTTGTAAAAATAATAATATATATAAATATACGAGAGCGATTAGTTCTCAAAAGTTTACAATTGAACAAACTGTCGCGCCAGTAGACTGGAAAATGTAAAAATAAAACAAGGAAAAGAAATTTTTTCAGTTTATGGCTTCCGCTATCGCCGAGAAACGGATGCACGCGATATGGCGCGAGCCTTTGGCAACATTTATGGTTATGCGAAATTCCTCTTGATGGTGGTCGTAAAACTATTTTACAAAAAATGGCAGTAGTCCTTTTTACTGCCCGTGTGACTGTCGTGTATAAACCTGAATTACAGGTAAAAGCCCGTGTTCTACACGGCGCCTTGATATACGAGACCTCCTAATTCTCGGTGTTTCCTTAATTTATCCCTATTATCACATCTCCAAGCACGAAGGGACAAAAAATTCCTCGTCGTGCGAGAACGTGTCAAACATCTTTCGAGATTAATCTTTTAGCACTCTTTTTTATTCTAAATTTGACCAAAGATTTTGAAATATCCTGTTCAAATAACAATTACCATTAGAATAAAAAAGAATAAAAGAAAAATAAACCAAGTGAATATCTAATGTCAACAATAAGCTAAAGATTATTAACGGGCTTAAATTCTAAAGACAACATTCTAAAACTAATGTGCAGATAAATTTTATGTGGTACAGATCTTTACACACTTTTATTACTTTTGCAAATTGTCTTCTACACGTTTAAATTAAAATATATACTTGTTTGTCAGACATTTTATACATATAGATATTGAAATCATCATGTATTATTATCATACGTTATTCTTAAATAAAAAAATATATAATACTATTACTTACCTCAGTAATATAAAAGAGATAATTTATTTGAAATAAACTTCGGATTGAATAAACTGGAATTTAAAATACAATTGTTTATATATTTGTTCTTTTTCATCCTAAGATAAGTCGTCACTGCAGATAAATTGATCAATCTTAATAATAACAAACGAGATTCATCCGTGAGTATAATTTTATCCGTACTTAATAGATCAGTCTTATATATATAAACAAGAAAAATAAGCTGAGAAAAATAAGTAACGAGATGTAGTTTAAGAATTGATAAGGAGTTTATCCAAAAATCGAAAGAATGCGTTTATCTCGTTAGTAGACGCGTAAACATTGATCGATCGAATCGTAACGTATGGCACAAAGCTTAGATCACGCGAAGGGAAAGTAGTGTAATTATGATACGCGTCAAACGAAAGTCCCGAGTTCTTTCTTGGATATAATAAAAAAAAGATTTGTACAAAAATTCAATGTTACACTAAAAAAAATGATCTGGTTGAATTAAACAGTAATTCTGGTGGAAAATGGACGAAATCAGAATTTTCTGTTTATGTTTATTAGAATTCTAGTTGAGATAACTAGAATTAATATAATTATTCTGATTAATATAATTATTCTGGTAAAAATAAAAATTCTAGTAGATTTTATCAGAAATATTGTATTAACCAGAATTCCAGTTATCTCAACTAGAATTCTAATAAATTTAATCAGAAATTTTTGATTCGTCCATTTTCAACCAGAAATTTTTTTCAATGCATTGAATTATTTCCGATGCCACTAAAATCGAATTTGTCACTTGGGATTTCGCTCAATGTCGTAACGATTTTAAACAGAAAAGCGATTCACTGGGCATTACTATATGAA